ATTTATATCTATTTTTTTAGTTATAATCTGCATCAACTTCGAGTTCTGCTTTTTATCTTTTTGTATTTGTTTGAAGTTTGATTTAATATTATTTGTTAGTAAATTTGGAATTTCTGGATAAGGTGGCTTCTATGTAACACTTATATAATTTTTTACTATACAAATTTCTCTTTTCTCGAATTTTAAATCACCTATTTCTATTCCTGTTTTAAGCTCTACTTTTCTAGCTACAATAAAGCTATCTTTATGTATACGTTTTACCTGGTCTTCTAAAGGTTTTATAATTTCTGATATTATCTTTTGAGCTGATGCTAGCAAGAAGGGTTTTATTCGTGGATGTGCTCCATAATTTTGTCTATTCTTTGTTCACATAAGGCACCTCATAATGAAACTAATAATGCTTTACTTACTTTTCTTGCTATTTCACCTTCTTTCTTAATATTGTATAATATATTTCCCCATTTACCAAACATATTACTTCCATTAATATAAGTTTTTTTTTCATATATAAGTGTATTTGGTGATTCATTCATTAAATATACTTTTAGACCATTCTCCTTAGCACATTCTAAATCATAATATGTGTAAATTCTATGTAGATTATATCGCAAATATCTCGTGCATTGAAGGCTTTTCTTTAGAGAATTTCCTTCTATTGTTACTTTATAAATCCCATATGGAAATTTACTCTATTTTTTTATAAAAGATGAGTTTATAGTATGAAACTTACCTGGTGCAATTGGCTATGATACATCTTTTTTTATCATTTCAAATATATACATTGAATTTACATCGTATTGATTAGCTTCTCCTTCATATCTTTCTGCAAATATTAGAGTACCAGTTGTTGCTAAATCTATCTATACACTTTCTTGTTCACTTATTTTTTTACTTTTTTGAGGTGCTAAAGTAGTTTCTTTGAAAAATTTTATAGTTATTAATATATAATTTTCAGATTTACGTATATCAATTCTACCATTAGTTTTTTTAGCAATAGCTTCAGACTCATCATTAATTCTTTTGTATGCTTCCATAATTGTTTCTTCATTATTTGCTTTAATAAAATGATATTTGTTATATAATGTGCAAAAATCTTCTTTAACTCTATACCATTTTCTTTTCCCATCATAAAACTCAAATCTATTTGCTATATTTTTATGAATTAAAATAGTTTTATCTTGGTAACTCATGCTATTTTGCTTTGAACTAGATGATGCAGAGTATTGAGGATATTGAGCTTCGAGTCTTTGACTCATTTTTGATTCTCTTATCCAGAGTCAACTGCTAGCACACTTGCTTCTCTCAGCTAAAGTGTTGGTGAGTTTTCATCAAACGATATGAGATCACCTTCAGGAGTTGATAGCAGATTTTGCTCTGGAGTAATATTTTCAGTTTGAGGTATATTTTGCTCTGGAGTAACATTTCCTACATTTTGTATTATAAGCAAAGCTAGTTGGTATTGTCCTTTACGAAGGTTTCTATTTAAATTCATATATTTATTAAGATCTTGAGTTTTACTAGTTTTTTTTTTTTTTTTAATTCAGCAGTCATGCCATAACTTTATTTAGATTTGTTTTTCATTTAAAAACAACATTATT